AAACTTTCAACAGCCTTAACAAAGTATAAATCTGACTCTGTCAATTACAGAATTTCATTGAATAATGACTCATTTTGGTGAAACCACATTCAGCTGCATCACTGTAAATGCTGAAGAAGGAACAGAAAGAAGGTGTGTAGAGAATATGCAGAGATAGAAGCAATTTTGATAATTTTCATAGAAATATGTCAAGGTAATGTGTTGTAAATCCCTCTTAGTGCAATACTCACACGAGGATTTTTAAAGGGGCATGGAACATTTTGATATTTTTACTGTAAATGCATTTTGACCATGACACCTGCTGTAATACAGAGGGAAACCAGTTTGGCCACCACAACTATTTCAGAGGCACAAAACCATCAGGTTGCAGGGGAAAAATCAATATCAAGTTTCAGGGAGAAGAAAAGAAAAGGTATCTACAGCTTTAAGGGAAAGGGAAATGAGATTGTTCCTCAGGATGAACCATTTTCAATTGCAGCCTGACAAAAAGAGAAATAATTTAAACCCGAGGTAAATTAGGATGGCTAAGTACTAAAACTCCTAAAAAACAGACTTTTAAAGAGAAGCCTTCACAGATGGAATTTTAACTGCACAGCACAGCCGGGTGCTGTTACAACAGGCTTTTTTTATTATTATTAACTTTGATCAAAGCTTATTAACCAGCAGCACCGAGCCATCAGTGGCTTGGACTACACAGGAGAGCTAATTAAATTTAAAGTGCCACTAAGTCCTGAGGGCATAACACACAATCCCCAAGGCAGGAGCTTGAATGCAGGGGGTGAGAACATTTGCATGGTGAGGCAGTGGGAGATGGCAAGGTGCTCGCTCTTATTTACTGTGGGCTCTGCAGAGATTTTAGTAGAACCAGTTCTGAACCTGTCCTCATCATCAAACACGCAGAAAAGTGTGGGCACTCAGTGTCTGGGGAAATGTGGGATATTTCCACACAACTCGGCAAGAAACACAGATCATAAAATTTTATTTGATCCAGCAGGGCAGATCATGACATCCCTCCTTACCCTAAGGAGAGGTAACTCCTACCAATTATAATGTGAAATACAACTAAGGAAAATAAAACGAGATGCAAGCTGACTGTAAAGTGGTGCACAGCAGCCTTGTTCTGTCCAGAGGCAGACACATATAATGGCATTTATAAATTAAAATAACAACAATAAATCATTAAACAATTTCTTCCTACATCCCACCTGCTATGTTATCCTTCTTATCTACAATAGATTGCAATAATTAAATCTTTCCCTGCAGTTTTGGCATATACCTGGGAGGAGGGATAATATTCTCCTTTCTGGTCACTTTCTAGGCACTGTGAAGAGTAAACTGCTACCCTCCATCTCCCTTTCAAGCTCCTGGGAAGGCAGCAGAGAGGGGGAACATTTATCCCATCCTTGCTCATGTTTTAAAAGCCTCCTGATGGGTGAACCACTAAAACATTTTCCAGTGAATAACAGGAGCTGATTTGCAGGGCAAAGCCATTATTTCCAACCGTGATATCAAATAATGATTTATCAGACTGATATTGTCATTTCAGGATCCCGAGGAGGAAGGGCTCAGTAAACAAAACCAGTACAATTCAGTGCAGAGGGAAGAAAGAGGAATCTGTAACAACTGGGCTGTCCCTAACCAGAATTAGCATTTCTGTATCCTGCAATGACAGAAACATCTTGTAGCATCGTGCTGAGTCACCCACTCGCTCCTGTGGGCCAGGAGGAACTCAGGCTGGTGATTTCTGGGGGTTGTGGTTTGCTTTCTCCCCTTCAAGAACAATTGTGTCCAGCTGGCACCAGCGCACCAAGGGAATCACAGCCTTACCCCACTCCACACCTTCTGAGGGATTTCCAGCTCTGCTCCAGATGGGGGAACTTTGCTGAAGGAAGCACCACTACAGAAAACACCTGGATTTGGTAACTCTGGGGATCTCACCAGCCCCGGAGCAAAAGCTCAACCAGCCAAAGCCAAACCAACCCTGTCCTGCTCCCCAGAAACATTCCTGGCACTCCATCCACGAGGAGCAGCAGCAGGATTTCCCCCATGTCCTCCTTCCTCTCTCAAGCAGGAGCTCACGGGCATTTCAAGGACCTGACACAGCATCTGTAGCGGCTGCTTCAGAATTTATTGAACTGCAGTGAGAGCTGGAGCTCTGTGCCTGTCTCATCCTCACATTCACAGCCCTAAACGAGGTTTCAAATAAATTCCTCCCATGCTCATGGCATGGCAGGCAAAGCTCTTGTGAAGAATCACACAAAGTGTTATTTAAAATGTATTATTATTTATAAACATTGTACTATTTCTAAGGAGTGTAATTATCATCAGCTTTATTTCTGAGTGCTTTAAAATACTTACTTATTCCATTTTAATTTCTCCCTTTACACTAGCAAGCATTAGCTACATTAGTGTGCAAGCAAGAAAAAAACTACCATGTTTCAGTTCATCTTTGCTTTAGCCTAGGAAGCAGAAATTGTTGTGAGAAAGCAAACCATATATCAAACATACAAATCACACTGGAAATGCCAAAAAAAGAAGAAATTTTAGGTAAACTTTTAGGCTCCAGATTCTGCCCCTTTACAAAGATTGCAATTAATCATTCTTACTAATTTTCTTACTATTTTTCTTCAGTGCATCTTGTTACAATATTTTTATCAGATTAACACCAGACTGATAACTAAATAAGGTATTCAATTTTCTTTTAATAAATATCAGCAGGTTTTTCCTCCATATCCAGTGAAATACCCTGGCATTTGAATGCCCCAAAAATTCAAGGAGAAGAACAATTATTGGTGATTAAGAAAAACTGTCAGAGTTGTAAACTCTGCAGTTCAACAAATCCTGATTTTTTTGGCTGATTTTGCAAACGATCATGATTTTGAAAATTATTTTGTCTGAATTTCATAGCTTCTGTGTAACATTCCTATGAGCTGCTAGAACAGAACTATCTTGTGATGGAACCACCACAAGTTTTCCCCTCCCAACAGAAACCCAATCACTTGCTGAGCACTCCTGATTTTTCAATTAATAGTGAATTATTTAGACATGCACATATACAAATGCACTTTTACTGTGCATCTATGTGTGCACACACACACCTGCTTTCACTTTCCTTCAAAGAAGTTCTTTAATTATGACCTTCTCTCTTGATTCTGGGTTTCACCAATATCTACTGAAACTACCTCAATAATCTTCTAATTCTCATTGACTCCTGCAATGACATTGCAAGTCCAAAAGGGAAAGAAATACAGTGATGAACTAGAATATAGGAAAACTGAGATAAATAGAAAAAACATCCCAAATATTATCTGTCTTATCTTTTATGTCTTACAGTCCTTGATGCTTCACGGAGCTTTGAGCTTCACTATCCACTCATTCCATTCATCCCTGAATTACTATTTTCTGCATAAAGACATGATCTGCTTCTTTTTGAGTGTGAAAATTCTAGGACAGACTTCAGATATTCATCACCCAGCTGTGCTTTCCCATTGTTCACTGGGAGAGAAAGCTGTGCACACAGGAGGAGCAGCAGCTGACCTCAGGGATATTCAGCAGTGCCATGGCCTTGAAAAACTCAACTGTGTTCCCAGAGCATTAACTTTATGTTCTTTTCATGTTATCTGCAAATTTTGCATCTGAACTCTTCCAGTCAGGACCAAAACCCTGAGGACTGCATCCCTCAAAGACAAAAGAAAGTACATTTTTTGTTTGCACCTAAAATAAAAACACAGCTGGTGTATTTTCCAGTCCAGTCCCTCGTGGTTGCCTGAGCAGGGCAATAGTTGTTGTTTTCATTATTAAATACATATCTCCGTCTCAAAATTCCCTCTGAGCTAGTTAGGCCCCACTGAATTTAGAAGAAGACTCCACACCTCCCACTTTTCCCTGCCTTTTCACAAAACAAATTTCTCATCATGTTACCTGAACTGAACAATTAGCACCTGACAGCAAAGACTTCTGGAGACCCCAGTGCAGCATCAAATTATTTCTTTCTGTGATCACAATTTCCTCCACTTGTCTGAAGCTCTGCCCACTTTATATAAAGCCAGAAATTCTTCTGCAAACAGACCCCCATGAGTGACCAAGCTGTTGGCCACTGGCACCAGGGTCCCAAACACTTCCAGCTCCCAATGGGAAGCACACAAAATTGCTGTTTTACAGGAAAAGATTGTTGTCTGGATTACCTTTACCTGTGGTGGAAATAAAAAGCTCCAGTGAGAGAACCCATAGCAACCTTTGAAGACCTTAAGGGAAGTTTATGTATCTATTTTTATACACATATGTGTATATATCTATACATATATATAAACAAATGATATTACAACTATCAATGCAGTTTTGAAACTTTTATAGCATTTGCCCTGGGTATTCCCACTAGTTTATCACAAACATGCCAAAATTCTGATTCACAGTTAAATATTTTGTACTGTATAATGTGCCATCACTGCATCCCACACACTTTACAAGGCTCTAGTCCTGGAAGAATTCATCAGATTAAGTTTCATGAGCATCTTCACAAGGCCAAAAATTCTCTGACAAATAAGTGGATTCTGCTATAAATACACTTTCATTCCATTTATGCACACAGCTCTTTTTATAGCTGTTAAACCTCCCCTCTTTCCCCTTTTTAAACACTATTGAAACTGTCAGGAGCTACCTTTTACACTTTATCAATCACGGCACACACATCATGATTCCTAGAATTTAAAATGGAATTGTTGATGGTTCGGATACTGTTAGACTGTCATTAGTTCTGCAAAGTGTGTAATTTGTCACTTTGCAAGAAATGACAGTGCCTTCACTCGTGCAACATGCTTTTAAACCTCCCCTCTCTAATTTGAAAATGCCAGTATTGTACTCTGCTCCAGGAGAGGTATTTGTGAGGCTTGCTGGCTGGCTTGTCACAGAGCAATCTGTCAGGTAGCATTTTGCCTTCCTTAAGGTTTATTCACACAAAGCCTGTCTGTGATATAACACAAAGACAATGCTTTCTGTCTTACCTGATGGCAACGAGGCCCGTGCTGGATTTTCACTTTCCTCATCAGTGCTGGCATCATAGTTGTTTTCTCTCTTTACAACCACCTGAGTAGCAGCTATACTATCCCTAAAAACATCAAAAGAAAGGGAAAGAAATTAAGGTATTTTTGTTTCTCAAAGGAATTAAATAATTCAGGGAGAATATGTATGAAATCACCACCTATGGGAAGGGCAGGGACATGATCCTACTGGAAAATCAATTGCAGCCCAGCAGAAAGCAGGAGAGCTCCATCAAACACTCACTTCTTGGCTACAGCACCCACAGCAATCTGCTGCTGCTTGCAGGGATGCCAGAAGGAATCCTCCTCTCCCCTGACTTCCAGGATTGGTTTGGATAAGCCAGCACTCAGCCAGGAAGAACTGTCACTCACTGTCAGGGCCAGGGAGATGGAAACTGAGCTAAGCTAAACTCGCATGTGCACCCCACCAAGAAACCCAGGGAAATTAAATACCTGGCACACTTGGCATCCGCTGCGGATTCTTTAGCTTCACTCAACAGCTTCTGCAAGTTCCTTATCTTTGCCTTCTTTTCATTCAGCACCAAAACAAACCTGCTGTAAAGGTCTGCCTCCAGCTCCTCTTTGGCTTCCACGCATTTTTCCAGCCTGCAGCACAAAATTAACTGTTACACCAACTCCTCTGTTTCCTAGAAGACAATTCTGTCCTGAGGCCAGCCTGGAATCCCCACTCCAAACCACTCAGGGCTGGTCCAGCCCCTTGTGTCTGAAACAGGCCTGAATAAGCTTTTTTTGTTGTTGCTTTTCCACAGAGAAGTGCAATGAGCTCTGCTTCCAAAAGGGAGAAGTTCCCCAATGTGAACCTTTCTTTTCATGAACTTTTTTTTTTATTTTTGGTATGTTCTTGCACCCCTCCACCCAAGACAACTAAAATTTAAACAGGCAAATGTTCTTTATTTTCAAGGCAGAATCACAACAGTGGGCATACACCTTAGGAGGAAACACATAATGAGATTATAAACAGATGTGATTCACCTAGACAGGCTTCAAATCTGTACCACACATTGGTGTAAAATATATTTGAAGAGGAAAAGAAAATTTCAAAATATAAAAAATGCCTAGCTCTTAATATCTTCAGAGGAAAATATACTTCAGGTTTTTAAAAAAATTTAGTATTGATCTATGAGGGTAGATGAATGTCAATAAAAGGAAGCACAATGGGAGTATTAAATTAAGAATATGGGTGTTTGAATGCTCATAAGCAACACTGGAATACAAGCAAACCTGAGCACAACAAATCAAGTGATTTGTGGCAAATGTAACTCTGTATTTAATTATTGTATTTCATAACCTTTAAGTCCTTGGGTTGAACCACAAACTTTTTATTAGCTGTGTACACAAGAAGCAAATAAGTATCTTGATAATTTTACTGATCATAGTAAGTATAGTAGTCATAAGTCAAAATTGTATTTTTCACCAGCCTGTGCAAAGCTGTAAAAAAGTTTAGAATGCTTGTTATGCTATTAAACCCAGACATGTAACAGACTTTAAAAATATTAATTTATAAGGCAAGAGATTTCAACAGACTTCCTACATAAATACTAATTATTTTGTTCACAGATCAAAACCATATATGATGTAGGAAGCAAGACAATAGCAAAAAAAAAATCATCTCACAATTTTAATGTTTTGGTGAAATGTGTGAAATCTCATGAAGTATTAAGCCTACTGTTCAATGCTTTAGGGATATGCTTGATAGTTGATAAATAATTCATCCAATTTAAATGCAAATAGCAGAACATCATTACCATACAGATCAGTTCAATAATTCCTAAATGAAAGATCATAGGTACTAATCAACTACCAGGAGACTTCCCACCTACAAAAGGGAAGTTAACTGTTTAGTGGGGAATAAATAGACAATTCACAAAGAACCATAAACCCTAATGCAAGGCCCAGAAGAGCCTGGACATGCTTGATACTAATTATTTCTGTATACATAAAAATGGGGGGAAAAAGGATTTTGTCTAAAATATGCTAATCTTGTCTGTATCAAATCCCTTAGAATAATCCCCTCTCCCACACATAAACCAGGGAAAGTGGTTGCTCTCTGCCTTTACTTTGACAAGGCACTGGTTTGTGGTGGAGGAGTTGAGGCTGGTCCAAATATTGAGAAATGTGGCTGACTTGGCCAAAAAAATGCCATTTAAGATAACTTCAGTGAGGTCCCTGGGTGCTGCAAAGACATCCCCTGATGAAAATCCACTTAAAAGGAAACTTCAGTGAAGTGAAGCTGATGCTGCCTGGACTGTGAGTAGTACAGTGGAGAAACCAACTGCAAGACTAGCCAATTCCTTCAGTCTCCAGAGAAAAAAATTAGCATCTTGAATATTAGAATTAGAATATTAACTTTTCCCTCTGGGCAGAACCAATTAGTAGTATGCCATCAGTTAATCTTATATGATTGTTTTCATTTACATGAATACCTTTTTTTTTAATTTTTCTCTCCCATTATTCAAAGCTGCCCACATCCAAATACATTCTCCACACACAGAATGGCATTAATTTGGCAGAACACAGAATATCACAAAAGCTTCACATTAATGCTGTACTTGCAGTTTATATGCCTTTAAAATACACTTTTATATGGCATATCTGATAGTTTAGCAGAGACTGGTAAAAGGCAATGGTCAAACAGCCACTGCTAGGGACTATGACAAACAATAAACTGAGAAATTAATTATAAAAAACAAGATTTCTGGTGCTGACCCAACACAGAGCAATCACACGTGCTCTACAGAGGCGAACTTGAGCTATGAAACTTAATGGCTTTCCTTTAATTCTTAGTGGCAAGCTTCACAATCCAACACTATGAAGGAAATAATTCAGCATCTCTGGTATTCATCCCTGTTCCCAGTGCTCTGAAATAATTCCTGGATCCCACGGCACCTCTCCCTTGCATTTCAGATTCACCCTTCCCCCAGCATTGGAAATGGTATGGAATGTTGATGAGCTAATGCTGAAGACTCAGTTTCAAGCCCAAAGTACCTAGCTTGCATTTTTATAATCTGCTTGTGGTTTAAATATACTGTCACCGCAGATGGCCACAACATAAACTGGCAGCTATTTTGAATTTGGCTTGTCTCTCAAATTTTGGATGTCCAAAACCAAAATACGTACCCCGTGCCCAAACCAGAAATTGGATTTTTATTGTTCAAGGAATTATTTTCTACATGTTATTATTACTTAATATTTGCCACCTCCATTATCATGGAATCACAGACTGGTTTGAGTTGGAGGGCCTTAAACTCCAGCCAGTCCCACCCTGCCATGGGCAGGGACACCTTCCACTGTCCCAGGTTGCTCCAAGCCCCAGCGTCCAACTTGGCCTGGAAATAATTTGCCTTGAATTTTCTAAAAGAAATAAAGAAAATAGCTATTTGCCTTGAATTTTCTATAAGAAATAAAGAAAACAGCTGTTGTGCTCTGATATTTTAACTCATCCATCCCTGAGGTGTACACACACAGACACACACACTCAAGCCCAGGCAGCCACTTGCTCACCAAAACCTCTGTGATGGTCAACAGAATTAAACAGGGAGATGGAAATGGGATTATTGAATAATTCCACCCAGTGCCCCACGACTGAGGGGCACAGGAGCAGCTCTCGGAAGCCTGCCTGCTATGTTTTAATTCTAACCAAGCCCTGAGGAGAGAGGCTGTGAGCAGAGGAAGCTGCAGGGGCTGTGGGGCTGGTGTGCCCTGGCTGCAGCTCCGCACACCACGTGCTCTGTGTTTGATGTTCCAGCACTCAGCACCCAGAGTGGTGCAGGATGTAAATCCTGAATTCCTGCCTCCTGAACAAAGACAGGCACAGCTTTGTTCAGCTCGGGGCAATTCGCAGCGTTTGGAGCTGAAACAGCAAAGGCAGGCAGCAGGGTAGAAGGGGGTTGTGGGAAAAAGAATAAAAAAAAAACCACACCAAAAATTAAAAAACCAAAATAAAACAAAAAACCAACAAACAAACAATAAAACAAAACAAAACAAAAAAAGGAACCCAAAAAATAAAACCAAAAATCTCCCAAACAAAACAACACCCCCAAAATCCCCCAAAGAACCAAATGAAAAAGCCCAATACTTCTTGAATGAAAATGATTTCTGAATTATTTTTATTCTGCATAAAACAGACATGACCAAAGACTGATGACCATAAAACCTTCAGCGTATATTTCGAAAAATCATTTTTCATCTACTCAAAACTACAAACATGCTAAAGAAATCCACCAGCTTGCACTGAGAACAAAGTCACACAACTCTGAGTTTTTTTTTTTTCTTATTCCTCCTTTTCTTTGGGGTTACTCTGTAAAAGTGCCACCCCACCATGGAAATTGATACAAGCACTAATGCCTCTTACACATCAGCGTGTAATGCAGCACAGAACACGGGTTATACAATACACTATTGTTCAATTACACTGTTAAGCAGTAAAACACTACTTAGGGAGGCCCTCTGCTTGTCAGGGAGACTGTCAGGAGAAACTGTTACTCATTTTAATGAGAGGGAAACAAAACTAACTCCTCCCAAAAAGTTGGCTGTCTTTTTCAAGGTAAATTAACGCAAATTAGCTGCATTCTTTCATCAATCTTCCTAAGTTGTGTGTTTTTTCAGGTAAAGCTACAGAAAAGCAAGACAGATCTCCCTCAAAGAGTTATATGCTTACTGAAACAAGCACAGATTATTTCACAGAAATGATTTTACAGAATGATAGACAACTCAGATTGTAAATGCAGCAGCAATTACAAAAATCTCTTGAAAAATAATGGTGCTTTTTCCTATAATACTGCACTCATCTTTCAATTCCAGCTTCCTCAACAAAGAAAAGAGATGAAAGAAACAGTAATTTATTCCCCACTCAAAAATGTAAATAATTTACACTGCCAGTCCTAAGACTCATAGGAAATAATATTAATGAAAAGGCTTCCTAAGGAAAGTGAAGCTAATTCCACAGATTTTGAGGTGTTTGGGGATTTTTTCTAACACAGAAGCTAAAACCACCTTTAATTGCAAATTTTTAGTATCAGTTGCATCTTTATCAAAGGAAGGAGATCTACAACTACATGGGCTGTGGTTACCTGAGCTCAAAACATGTCTCAAATGAATAAAAATTTCTGACCAGTGCTGCTGAGCTTCTCAGGTGTCACCTGTGAATCCACCTGGGAACTCACCTCTTCTCCACCTCGCTCCAGTTGCTGAAAAGCCTTTCATTTTCCCTCTGCAGATGCTCAGTTTTGGCTTGCAGCTTCCCCAGGCTGTCCAGGCAGTAACCAATGAGTTCCTTGATCACCTCTGCTGGGTTTGGGACTTCCTGCAGCTTCAGAGATCCAAGTCTGAACTGAGACACAAAGAAAGAATGAATTATTTCAGCTGAACAAAAAACTTCACTGAGGCTTCCCCCCAGTAAACTTGAATACATCTTTAATAAGCATAAGGAATACCTTACAGTCCTCCAGTTTAAAGAGACACAATGATTTTGTCATGCAGAGAATGGAGGAATATGTGGAATAATCTACATGGTAATTATTTCCAGAGGGCCACAATGTTGAGAAGGACTCTGCAGCATCTCTGGGCTGGCCAGGCTGCATAAGGGAGCCCTGACAGGGCCGGGAGAGACGTTCCCGAGTTTCCTTCATTTGCCTCACGATGGCCGCGAGGGCCCTGAAGGCCCCGTCAGGAGCCCGGGCCTGGCTGAGGGGGACGTTTGCTGGATGTTATCCCAAGTGATTGTTTGCAGGGGTGCTGGC